ATCCATCAATCCATCCATCAATCCATCCATCAATCCATCCACCAATCCATCCATCCATAAATAGCTTTGTGTCCTGGAGATGTCTTTGCGCCACGTCCAGCAGCTACTTCAGCAGCACCACGTCCAGGTCTCGCCCCCCGCGGCCAAGTCGGACCAGAAGTCGGAAGAGGAAACCATGTCGCAGAAGTCGTCGCTGTCGTTGCTTCAGAGTTTTCCAGAGCTCCAAGACACTTGCTTTTGTATGCTTTTGTTATTTGTTAAACCAGGTGATTTAGTTGATGTTCCCAAACTGGGTAGGTCAATTCCCCCTTGCTGAGGAATATAGGGTTTTTGTTCAAAGCCAAGGATATGACCCTTTGCGTGGACACCTCCAGCAATTGGTTCGACGCTTGGACGCAGCAGATCGAAAGACGCAGCCTGACGCAGCGGAACCAGATCGGAAGACGCTCGAAGCTCCAGGAGACCCAGCTAGAAGTCACCAGACGCCTTCAGCTAGAGGCCTTTAGCTTGGTGATGTCTTATGGTTTTTACATATAATAGGCAAATTGACGCACACCGATTTGTGATAATGATAATCATGTGTTTTCAAGCTGTGATTGTTTTGCTTTGCTCATGAAGTATTTTGACAACATTATACATCAGCTGCACATCAAAAACGAAACCCAGACTTTGCCTCCCAAGCTGCCTACTGGGCCTACTGTCCATGTCAGATGGCAGAGAAGAAATCCTTCTTCCACCATTAACACCGCCGATGCTCATGTTCTGTATCCGACGGTGGTGTCGAATTCGTACGATTTCCGTCGGTCCAATCCCTGGACTTCTGATCAGGATGTGGAACAGGCACACCTGAGCTTCATGCGTCAACCGCAGTCCTCCCATCTGTCGATGCCCTCCTTGCGACGCCTTATACGACCCAGTGAGTGGGAGACGGTGCGGAGCAAGTTGAAGGAGGTTGGTTGCGGTGCCTCCGCTCCAAGGTGGAGAATTTTGGGCCGATCGAAGAAAGGATGAGGGAAAACAGGACGAGGTGAACCAGGACCCGAATCATGTTCCGTCGGGCTCCAGTCGTGCCTCAGGTTCGGTATGACTGGACCCTGCAGAGCCACCCCACTCCCACCTTCGAAACGAAGGTACGACTGGAGCCCTAGGGGGTTTCTGCTTGTGAAGAACTCGGGAGATCGCTCGGAACGTACGGGAGTCCGGTGGCGGAGCTGTTCATTTGTAGGGGGTTCTTCATGTCTCTTACGATTGAAGAAGCGAATGAAGAAGCAGATATGTCAGCCAACTGGTGCTTCCTCGACTGTTTCAGGTGTTGTGTTTTTCATGTGTTTTTTCCGCCTAATTGGGAGTCAAAACCCAGAGAACCCGGTGGGGTGGAGAGCACCAATCTTTTGTCAGGGAATGAGAGTCATGTGGCTAATTAAACACCAAACATGCTTTTGCCTGGCGCACCTCGCGAAGCTGGTGCGTGAGGTTTCGTGAGTCCAGCTCTTTGAGTCATGTCAAATACTCTTTTGGGGCGCAGAACATGGTCACAACCGCCATAAACCTCCAGCAGTCACAAGACGGGGTGCCGAGCTTGGAGGATAGGGGTGCCCCTGTCACATCCACTCACTTACCCTAACACTCCAAGTACCTCCTTAGAAGGTATGACTGGACCCTCTAAACCCACCCCAAACACCTTCTAAGAAGGTCCTTGGAGCCCTAGGGTTAGGGACCAAAACCCCATCCCTTTGTGACTGCTGGCTGTTCCTGGATGTCGGATGTTTAAAGTACCGACCAGCGCTGCCGAGCGAACTTGATCGGCCTCCGTTTACGCACATTTTCTTGGGGACCGAGGGTGAGATGAAGTGGGTCAAAGCGTTTCAGATGTGAACCAGTGCATGTCAGCATCAATAGGTGTTTAGTCACATTGAGGCACGTTTTTGTTGGAGCAAGACTGTCTCGCAAGTTGACAGAACTTTCAGGTGCCCGGTGTTATCTTGTGGTGCGCGCCCAACATCAGTCCTGTGGCTGTTGGTCAAAATCCAGAAACCTACTGTCATCCCTGGTAGGTTGTAGTCTATTCTGTTAATGTTCGGCGTTTTGCCCCTTTTGCCCCACAGCCATGGCTATGTTGGAAAGCTCATGTAGGGGAGCCCTTAAGCTCATGACCATCTCCTTCCCAGGCGTGGCAACGACCTGGGTTTCCGTTCGGGAGGCATGACCAGGTGAAACCAGGGAGGTCCCCATATTCAAAAACAAACCCCAAACGGCTTCATTGGGATGATTTGAGTGGCTATGAGAATCCCAACTTCACCCACCAAACCGTCACTCTTCCTTCGCAGTGTCAGCCGCTGACCTGCATGGCTGCCACATCTTCTACGGCTGTGAGGAAGGACGCCATGGGTCAGGTCAGAGTCATTCCAGATATTTCGACGAATCTGTTTCGTTTGCGTCTACCAGAGAGGGTAAACACCAGCATGACCTCCTGTTTGGACCCACTGCCATGATCTGCCATGTGTCATCCGTTTGAAACCCGAGTCTCACCATGAAACGCTGATCATCGCTCATCATACTATCCAACTGGGTGTTTTGGGTGCGATCCGGACGTCTTCTGTGACGCTTATCCAGACTCAGGTCATCGAGACGGCTCAGATCACACAGATACGATGGAGATGCATCTCTTGGATGATGCGAAGCAACCCTTGATTGCCCAAGTCCAAGTCTCTGCATATCGCCCACCTCGAGGTGGGGACGAGACAAAACATGATTCCAGCAGTTCCGTGTCAGGGTGCTTGATGGAGGTCAGGGGTGCCCAAGTGGGTGCCCCTGTCACATCCACTCACTTAGGGACTAAACACCACCCCGTCTTGTGGCGCTCCGTGTTGAGTTCTTGTGTTTCGCAACAGGTACTGTATCAAAACGAAAAGGTGGCACAGATGGGATTGGTGAAGATACCCTCATTGTCACCTGTGGGAGTGTGTTCAATTCGATAATGTAAATCCCAGGGTGTAGAATTACATAGAAGTACCAAGAATTAAATAATTACCAATTAACAGTTGAAGATCTACTTCCTTTTCTGGATCTCCTCTTAGTATATACAGCTGCTTAGAACCATGCGGTCGAGGGTCCAGAAGCTCAGAGAAAAAACATGGCGCCCAAGCGTTTCAGTCTGCGCGCAGGTGGGGAGTGCACAGCGAAGGTGTGCTTGAACTTTACAGATTTGCTCTTTGAAGATCGCTCCCCAAGAACGCGAGGCCAAGCTTCTCGCTCATCATGCCTGTCAGATCTGTCAGCCATCAAAGAGTGAGATGAGATGAGTGAGATGGAAGCTGACCAGATCTGGTCAGTGTGGACTGATGTGTACAACCATACCTTGTGGGTCACATAGAAGTGATGGGTTATGGATGGTTATGGTGTTGTCTTCTGGAGATGGTTCTTTGAGCGAGTATGGGTAGCGCCTTTACCTCCAGCATCCCACCCAAGTGAGACCCGGCAGGATGTCATTTCAAGGCAGTTGACTGTTCATCGACCACCCCTGCGCGAAGTTATCCAGGGGGTCGTGTGGGCAATTGTTTAATTTTGTTTTTCTCTGTGCACAACTGGATGCACTTGATTAGAATTGCCAAGTTTTGGCTTCAGGAGTAGATGGTGTTTCGTCACGTTTGTTTCATCTACTCTGAACTCACTAGGGTGTGGGGTCACGTCACCTCTCAACGTTTTTCTAACATGAAAAAGACTCGAAACCAGCCCCAGGTGGCCAGCCCTGTTGATCCCATGCGCAGTAAGTGGTGTTTTGGGGGATCGGTCGATGACGGACGTGGACCTTTTCATCCACACCCGCGGGTTCATCCCCAAGTGATGCAGCCATACCTGGCGGATTTTGTATATCTCTGTGGAGTGCTGCTTGGTGCATCTGAGCTGGCAAACACCTAGAGTGAGTCTCAAATGAAACTGTGTCGAGTCCCAAATGTGGGCAAATTGGATTGGATAGAACCTGCGCACTGTTGGACACCAGATTTGTCCCCATGGTTCATGGTTTTACGCTTTGATCCCCAATCCAAGGAATGAGGATGGTTTTCCGTTGCCAACGACCGTGAAAGAACATATCGGTTTGGCGATGCATGCGTGTTGAGCTTGCAAAAAAGGACGGACGGACTCCTAGGCCAGCTTCGATGGTTCGAATCTTGAACCACCGGTTTTAAAAGGATTTTAGATTACATACCACCATACATGGTGTTTAATGGAATCACCACATGAGATTTTACAACACCCGGTCAGGTCTTTCGTGCTTTTGGAATCTCCAGCTGATTCCCTACGATCGAAATCGTTCTCAGGTTGAACTCGTTTCACCATGGCTCGCTCGCTGGATGGAGCTCACCACCGGTCAGACGATGCCAGGCCCCGGAAACGGCCAGGCCCGTTTGAACCAATACTGTGCAAAGGTTTCACATACTGGTACTGGGGGGGGTATCTGGTGCGTCTCCTTTGTGAAGTGCCTTCAGAACTTGCCGATGATTATTGCATAAGAGCGTTGCCATCATATGATGGCATATTCCAAACACTGGCAAATGATAGGGGTCTCACAAAAGAACGATACATAACGATACCCTTGAACAAGGTTCCAAAATGAATCAACAGTCTACAGCAGCTGCAGCTGAACCAGTGGTTCACGAACATGGCCTGGTAATGCCTGGTCAAGACTCGTGAAGTTCCAGAAGATGAAAATACCTTGCCAGGTGAAAGACTCGCATGATCTCACATGCTTTGAGTCGTTGGCTTTATCCCACCAGCTTACCATTGAACTCACGCCATGAGGGTAGGGCGTAAAAAAACAGAGCTTTACTCCCCCTCCCCAAGCAACTCGGGCGTGGGATGGGTCCGGATGGTACGTCGTCCATCGGATGGCACCTGGATGCGCGCCGCCGGAGGCGTGCGAACGGCGAGGCGGTGGTCTCCGGTCGAGACAGGACCGGCACCGGCACCTTGACCCACCACGGCCAGGGGTGGTTGAGAGTATCAAGGAGTGAATGGTAGGAATCTGCTGTAATGGACATATCTGCTGCAATTGCCCGAATCTCGACGTCGGATTAATCAACGGGAGGGCCTCCCCCCCTTCAAGGTCAACAAGGTCAACAAGGTTTGAGATTGGAGGTTTTGGAGATCACATCCCCCTAATAAAGCTGATGGCTGATGACCTGATGATGAAAGGGAATTTGATTCGGAAGAATTGGAATGAAAGGGAATTAGTATTTGGAAGAATTGAGATGAAAGGGAATGAGTATTTGGAAGAGT